GCCGTCCCTGCTAGGCGGCCGCGATGTCTGACAAGGAATTCATGTGGGCCCTCAAAAACGGAGACTTGGATGAGGTGAAGGATTATGTGGCCAAGGTAGGAAGTGGCGGCGGCGAGGGCCCGGAGTGGGCGAGGCGGCGCTGTGGGCAGGGGGGATGTGCTCGGAGTCTTCAAGGGCCTCCGTTCGGGGGTCGGCCGGATGAGGCCGGGGGATGGCAGGTACCGTGACCTGCTTGCGGCGAGCTGCTTGTGAGCTTCCCTCGGCAGTGAGGGTCCAGGCCGTCGGGCAGCCTTCCCCTCCCCCTGCTCTCAGTTGCTGTGCTTCCTCCTTCTCTCACCCACGTACTGCTCCTCTCCGCCCCCCTAGTCTACCCTAGTGTGTGCAGCTGAAGTTGGTACAGGTCAGTACTTGAAACTTCCTATATTGACAGACAGTATTCTAGTCCTGCCTTGCTGATCTTCTGTGTTTATGCATATGTGGGGCCTTGGTTTGGTTATCCTTCTTTTCTGTGCCTCAGGGCTCATGCTTAATAGGGTGATGCTAAGCTACCGGGTGTATTGAGGCTTAATTAATTAACCTTCTGTGAAGTGTTTTGATACCTAGTTAGGACAAGGGCTACAGCAGCAGCAGACACCTGTGTAGTGGGTGAAACGATTTAATGTATATTGTAGTATTTGGAGCCTGGATTCCATCCTCATTTGCTTACAGGTGTCAGTGAGGTTTGTGGGGAAAGTGCATGTATAGAAGGGCAAGACTTTGTTTCAGTGAACTTTACTGTTCAGGAATATCTGGAAACATCAGAGCAGAGCTTTACCTGTAATTTAGCTATAATTACTTAGTTTTCTGAACAAGTTACTGATTGTCTTTGGGAGCTCAATAAATGCTGACATATCTTGCTGTGGCGACTTAAGTTCATCCTAATCCAGTTGTCAACTTTGGTTGAAACTTACACTAACTTGTAGCACACTTGGCAAGAAGTGTCCCAAGTACTTCCAGCTGCTTTAGTACAAAGTCCAACAGCTTAGCCTGAGTATTTTTTTTCTGACAATTTCAGCTAAGCTACTGGACTTTGCATCAAAGTGTCTGTACGCTCACATGCTCTGCTCTGTCTGAAAAGTGCTAGAGCTAATCACTGAGAATAGTACAATTATCCCACATCAGCTGCTTGTTAATGGTCGTGTACCTGTGTTGGGTTAACAAAGTTGGATACTACATTGATGTGTCTTATTTCTTCTCAGCTTTGGATGCTTCCAGACTGTTTCAGCAGCAGATCTGGATTCTTACTACAGCTTTTATGGGAATTCCTTATAAGTCTAGAGAACTCCTGCACTTTAGTGATTAAGGATCCTTGTGTATCTGTTGCTTAGGCAAGAACTTTGGCAGTAACCATTTTGAGTCAGTTTATATCTACAAGATCACTGCAGTACTAGTTACAAAGTTTTTATTTTTTCAACCCTTCCTGGGTGGCACTGCAACTCATAGCAAATGGATTTGTGACTGCTCTCATTTGCTTCAGTGCAAAGTCAAATACTTAGTTCCATCTGCTGCTGAAAGAAGCTTGAGCCAGCCTGGGGTGATGTAGTCAAGAGGCTGAAGGACATCATCTAACTGACCTGCTGAAGTAGAAATCTTAAAAAGAGATACAATTGTAGTTAGATGATTACAGCAAAAGAAGCCTACAATCCTTGAACAATCCTATGTTTGGGAACTGCTTCTAATGTGGAAAGTGAATAAACCATGGGAATTCTTTTCTTATTTATGACCTAATCTTGTTCATTCTTTTCCCCCACTTGCAAATATGCTTTCTATCATCAGCTGCTAAGCGTCCTACTTTCCAGTAACACAAGTAGTCTAATGTTTTCTTTTCAGTCCATTATGTTTGCTTGACAGATTGCGGGCTAGTGAACTCTGAGCCTGGTTTCCTGTGGAAATAAAGCTTATATGAGCAAGTTTTGACTGATTCTCTTCATTATTAATGGTTTCTAATTTTTTTTGCTAATTTTTGGCAAGTTTTATAGGTGGTACCAGGTGGTTTTGTGAAACTAAATGAAGTAGAGGGAGGTACCTTCAAGGAAGAAAAGAGAGTACAAGAATGAGGTTGTGTTTTACTGCACAACAGGAAATATTCACTGAGGAAGGGCAAGAGCACTCTAAAAATCCTCTGACTGTAAGAGAAGCCTCAGTTGGAACTTCACATTCTTGGATCCTAAATTAATGAAATATGTGAGGGAAAATCATGCTTTGGTAGTTACAGTTCTCAGAAAAATATCTTTTCTGTGTTGCATGTTCTCTTTTGACTGTCTTCCTTATCAGTTATATGGCTTCTGCTCCCTTCTGCTTTCCTGTTCTAAGTATGATTTAATGTTCTGGAATTTTACTTATATAAACTTTGCAGTAGTAGAAATTTCCTCTCCCTGTAATGGAGGAGGCAGTCTTACATATCTTACAGTCTGCATCTTTGTAAAAGTGTTTTGTATCTGTCCAAAACCTTTTAGTTTTCAACTTAATTTGTTTAGTTTCTTTTTCTAGACTTTGTTTCCTCATTAGTTGATTTGAGACAATACAGCTTTTAGTGCTAATGTTGCAGTTTTGCTGTCAGTTACAAAATAAAGCACTTGACCTCTGATTTTGTGTCACATCTGAATGGCAGGACTTTGAAACGCTAACTAGATGACTAGAGCACTTTAAAAATACTAGTAAAAATGGTTGTCATCTGTGAGGCTCTGATAGTCATGGCTTTTCTTCACTGGTGTTTAATAAGTTGTGGAGGTTGTGTCTTTGGAGTCATTAGTAGCTCTTCTTTTCATGTGGGATTTGGTTAGTAGGTACCAAGGAGAAGGTAGCTTAATCTTAATATCTCTCAGATTTTTATTCAAACAGCAGGTGAAACTTAGTGTAAAGTGAAAAACTTTCTTAATGACATGGTTTATCCTGTTTAAGTAGTGAAAATATCTGCCACTTCAACAGCTCTTGGACAAAGAAAGGATACAGAGGCAGAGGGAAGTCTTTATTTGCATTTTATGTGTTTCTATATAAAGATGTCTTGCATTCTCTTGAAGGTGCTTTCTTCAGAAAGAATCTTTCTTAGAAACAGTAAGTCTGAGGACTAGCAATGAAACAGACAGATGGTAAATGATACTGCTTTGTCGCTTAGCAAAAGATGTCTTAGTTCTGCCAGTCTGTGCATTTGGAAAACATTGTTGGCTCCTACTTGATGAAAATGAGAGATTATTTGTATAGTTTGGGTAGTCCTGTAAGAATTATTTCCTTTTGTAAGAAACATCTTATTAGTCTCTCAATTTCTTTACTTGTATTTGTGTCAATTTTTTCTTTAATGTAAATACTAATTTCTACTGAAACACTGTAGTTTAGTGTGTTATGCTAGCAGTTAAGTATGGTGTCATCTATTTTTATGATGACCAGGTTAAAAAGTAGGTTTTAGTGTATAGTTTCTTTGTCTTCCTTTTGAGTATAGCCAGTATATGTTGGCTTCAGAGTTATTTTTGCAGGAATTAAAGGAATTCTACACTCTTCCTACATACATCCACTCAAATTTTTAAAATTCCACAAGAGAGCAGAAGCTTTCATAGGAACAGATGAAACAAATGTGCTATTAAATGGGTGAGGAGGACCCATGCAGATCAGAGAAATTTTCTTCCCTGCAGGAAGGGAGCAGGGGTTTAAAAAGTACTAGTTAGAAAAAGGGTAGGGTATATGAAGTCTATAGACTTTCTTAATGAGAATGGTGTTTGCTCTTTTTCCTTTTTTTGTCTTCCCCAGTAGAATGAGATAAGCTGTACAAGTGCTTAAAAATATTTCTCTGTCAACATGTAATATTTCCAGTCAGCAGTAGATTTCTCAGGTTAAGTAATTCCAATTCTAGGCACAAAGTTTATGACAAGATAAACTGGGATTTATAAGAAAGAGGTTACAATAAGTGTTTGTTCTAGATTAATTTCATCTCCCATAGCTTAACTGAGAATTCTTCACTTCATGAACTGCTGTAATCCCTTATGTCATTGCTTCCTAAACATACTACTGCTTATAGTTACGCTTGCTAAATCAACTAACCTAGTGCTATAATCAGGTCAATCAAATTGGAAGCACCAGAATTTTATTGCTGAGAGGGCTGGAAGGTTGAAGTGATGGTAAGCTGTGAAAAAAGTGTTCCTAGAAAGTATGTATATGCTATGCTTGCCTAGTAGGCATTTCTGGTGTGGAGCTTGTCTTTAAACAACAAAACAAACAAAAACGAATCCCTGGGGGACCTTCAGCAACTCAGCTGGAAAACAGCAACCTCTTAGATGTCCTTCACAAAATTGTGATGCTACCTACAGTCTTAGAATTTTTTGGGATATAATGATATTTGAATATATTTTTTTAGAAATGAGGAAAGCTTCTGCAAAACTAACTGTAGAAACCAGAACAAAACCATTTTTAGAAATACCTTTTAAAAAGTAGTTAAGGTCTGAGTGTCATGAAAAAGAGACTTAAATATGTCTGCCAGAAGAGTTATTAAAATGAAGAAATAAATACCTTTTACCTTTTAACTTTAGAAAGGCAACATCTATTATTCTGAGTGTCTCTTGAAATTATTTTTGCTCTTTCAGGAGCAAACTAAATGAAAATTAGCACTTAAATGGCCATTATATATGGCCATTGGATTACTTGAGTTACAGATTAACCTTAGCATGGGTACATTGAAGTTCACCTTGTCTCACTACGTTGAATGGTGAAGTACACTTTATTACGACTACATTGATAGCTGTATTGCCTGTGGTTTGGAAGCAGTTTTTTTGCTCCTAAGTGTCAGGAAGCCTCAAAGCTTGGCTGGGTTACAGCGCAGTGTGAGTATACTTCAGTAGTTTGTCAAGGAGCATATAAGGGCTAGCACTGACCTGGCAGCTGCTGGACTGAGTTTATCCCCTTTGGAGCCTCTTGGATATTTCTTTACTGTAACTACACAATGTTATGCTGAATCCTGTACTATGTGGGTTTTTCTTTATATGGAATACTCTAGGCCTTCTGTTCTTTTCCTTTTGCTTACTGTTGAGCATGCTGGAGTTAAAGATACAACTTTGTTTTGATGCTTAGT